GGGGGGGGGGGGGGGGGGGGGGGGGGGGGGGATGGGGCAGAGCAGGCAGTGGCAGCACTGGGAGAGGGTCAACAGGGTGGGCTACAAATTCCCTGTAGCCATCCCTCCCAGCACTGCTGCCACCTACCCTGCCCCTTCCCACCCCAAGTGCAGCCCTGGCCCAGCCCCCCTGTTAGGAAGAGGCTAGCTCAGCCCCTGGGCCCAAGCTTGCAGCAGGTAGCATTCCCTCACCCTATGCACAAATCTGGGGGGAACACATGCCCCCCCATACCTCCCCTGAGTGTGCACACAGCAGTGGGGAGCCACCCCCCCTCCCCGTGCCACCCCTCCCTAACCCTTTGAGCCCCTCAGATGAGCTGCCCACAGCTCCATCCAGCACTCTGCCCTGCCCTGGCTGGGCAGCACCTGCCCCTGCTCCTGCCCCTGCACCCGTCCCAGCCCCACTTCCTCCCTTATCATGGGGGCCTTGATCTGGCTCCCTACACACCCCTTCCCTCCCCTACACCCCTTCCACCACCCAGACTTACCAGCCAGGCCCTGGTCTCCAAGCTGCTGGGCTGGATATTAGCTATCGGATCAGTATTGGTCGATATTAGGCCTGTGTGAAGTGGTTAGTATTTTCTTTGGATTTGCCCGATTAGGGGGACAGTGATTCTATTTGGTGATTTGAATCACTGTCCCAAATTGAATTGGCCGACTCTTCAAATGAAACAGGCCTCATCCCCCACACACTCTTCCAATGCTGTCAATGGCTGCCCCGCCTGGCCCCAGTGTCCTTGCACTTGAAAAAAGAAAAGAAAAAAAAAAGCCCCGCCTTCCTACCAGGCCAGGGGAGGGAGGGGGCGATCCCCACTGCCTCTCATTGCCCTGTGCTGTGTGTGTGTGGGGGGGGTCTTCCGCAAGCTCCCAGAGGCCCTGATGGCTGCTGCATCATCCAGTGAGTGCAGGGCTTTTTTTTTTTCTTTTAAAGCGTTGGTTCTCTGGGGCCATGCAGGGCAGCCATTGATGGGGCTGGGATAGCGGGCAGGGGTCAGGGGATGGGGCCTGGTGGGGGTCCCTCGATGGTGCCCTCCCCCCACTTCTAGTGCCCCCCCATCCCCTACTTACCAGCACGGAGTGTGGGTCCAGCTCCCTGTGGTGGTGAGTGGGGACTAGCTGAATCGCCAAATTGCCAAGTCTCAGAATCTCCTCCAAATCAATCTGGAGTTTTCGGATCAATTTGGACCTTTTTATTGGTCTCCCTATTTGATTTGGATTAAGAGATTGGGCCACCGAATCAGGCTGAATCTCCTCTGAATCGAATCCGCAGCTGAAGCTTTGCACAGCCCTAGCTGATATGGCTGGTTAATAATCGGCCATCAGTATTGGCCCAAAAAATGCTTATCAGTGCACCCCTAACCACAATGTAGGTAGGTCCCTAGCTATAGGTTCAGCACTGACTCACAAGGAGAACATCCTGCATTCTGAATTGCTACCATCATTCTGTGCAGCCCTTCATTGCTCCCTGGACATCCCCATCTGGTGTGACCCTGCTTAGATTAATATGTGACTAGAACTCAGAATGAGATGGTAAAACTCAGTATGATTACAAGCTTAACTGCAATTAATTAGAAGTTATTTCTTTTGCACATATGGTCACTTTTTAGTTATATTTTAATTTTATAGTTTCATAGTTTCATAGTTTCTAGGGTCGGAAGGGACCTGAGCAGATCATCTAGTCCAACCCCCTGCCATGGCAGGAAGAGCACTGGGGTCAAACGACCCCAGCAAGGTGGTCATCCAACCTCCTCTTAAAAACCCCCAGGGTGGGAGCCTGCACCACCTCACTTGGAAGCTGGTTCCAGACCCTAGCCGCCCTGACCGTGAAGTAGCGCCTCCTGATGTCCAACTTAAACCTTCCCTCCGCCAGCTTGTGACCATTGTTCCTGGTCACTCCTTGCGGCACTCGGGGGAACAGGGACTCCCCCAGCGCCTGCTGATCCCCCCTAACCAGTTTATAACAGGCCACAAGATCCCCCCTCAGCCTTCTCTTTTGAAGGCTGAACAGGTTCAGGTCCCGCAACCTTTCCTCATAGGACCTACCCTGCTGTCCCTTGATCATACGAGTGGCCCTCCTCTGGACCCTCTCGATGCTGTCCACATCCCTCTTAAAGTGCGGCGCCCAGAACTGGACGCAGTACTCCAGCTGCGGCCTGACCAGTGCCGCATAGAGGGGGAGGATCACCTCCTTGGACCTGCTCGAGATGCATCTGTGGATGCACGACAAGGTGCAGTTGGCCTTCCTAGCCGCCTCCCCACATTGCCGACTCATGTTCATCTTGGAGTCAATAATGACTCCCAGATCCTTTTCCACCTCCGTGCTGACAAGAGGGGAGTTCCCCAGCCTGTATGTATGGTGCCGATTGTTCCTCCCCAGGTGCATCACCTTACACTTGTCTGTGTTAAACCCCATCCTGTTCTCCTCCGCCCATCCTTGTAACCTATCTAGGTCCAACTGTAGCCTGTTGCTCCCCTCTATTGTGCCCACATCCCCCCACATCTTAGTGTCATCAGCAAACTTGAACAGGGTGCTTTGCACCCCCTCATCCAAATCACTGATGAAGATGTTGAACAGGGCGGGCCCAAGGACCGAGCCCTGTGGGACCCCACTTCCCACGTCCTTCCAGGTCGAGAAGGACCCATCCACTACCACCCTCTGGGTGCGACTCTCTAACCAGTTGGCGACCCATTGGACTGTATGGGTGTCTACGCCACAGTCCCCCAGCTTCCTAATGAGAATGGGGTGAGAGACAGTATCAAAAGCCTTCCTGAAGTCTAGGAAAACTATATCCACTGCCACCCCTGCATCCAATGATTTAGTGACCTGGTCGTAAAAGGCCACCAGGTTGGTCTGACAGGACCTGCCACTGATGAACCCGTGCTGGTTGCCCCTGAGCATGCAGTTCCCTGCTGGCCCCTCCTGGATGTGTGCCAGAATAATTTTCTCGAACAGCTTGCCCAGGATCGAGGTAAGGCTGACTGACCTGTAGTTCCCCGGGTCCTCTTTCCTTCCCTTTTTGAAGATGGGAACCACGTTGTCCCTCTTCCAGTCCTCCGGCACCTCTCCAGAGCACCAAGCAGACTTGGAGATGTGTAAATAGATGCTGTCGCAGGGTAACAGCATGGTACAGGCCCCGAAGGGCAAAAGGGGAACCCAGGGACCCAAAACAGGACCGGGAAGATGAGGGGAGAAGGAAAAAAACAACGATCTCCTTACCTGCAGCCGACGCCGTGGAGAAACTGGAAGAGGTGGCGGGACCTGCGCAGCTGATTAGCTGCGTCTTTTTGAAATTGCAGCCAGCTGCGATCAATGAGGATCGGAGCTGGTACAGGGGAATAAGGAGTGCCCCGAGGGACGAGAAGCAAGAGGGGGCGAGCAGGAGCGGAGGCACTCAAGGCCCCGCTCGGAGGCGAAGAAGGGACCAGCGGGCTGCCACGAGGCGGGAAGATACCCCGTGGCTGCGGGAAGGAGACCACCCATAGAGACGTGGCGGATGCCTGGGCTCGTGACTGCAGAGCCGGGTGCGAGGATCCGGGGACAGAGACCGGCGAGAGAAGCCACCCTGAAGAGAGAGGGTGGAGGGAGGACCCGGCCATCCAGGTGGGACTGGCACGGGTTTGGGGAGACCCCCAGAGTCCATCCCGGCAGGGAGCCGAGAACGTAAGCAGCAAGAGGGGCTGCAGAGAACGGGATCCTGCCGGGTGGAACCACTCAACGAGGGACTGAGTAGGGAAAGAACCAGAGTGACCAGGAGTAGCCTGGGAGGCACTTAGAAATACAGCAACCAGATAGAGGGGTGCTGTAGAAAGGGTTGGAAAGGGGAGAAGATTTTCCCTGGGCCAGGGAGGCCAAACTTTATTTTGTAACAAGGGAGGCTTACTGGTAGTGTTTTCTTTGAGTTCTTTGTTAAGTTGCCCACTTTTGAAGGGGTAGTGAGGAAGCCTCAGAAGGGTTTCTTAACCAGCTGGGTCTAGGGTCAGGATAGACCTACGGATTTGCAACAAAGTACCCCTTGGCATCGCAAGATGAGGGTCGGGCCCAGGAAACAACAGCAACTCAGCGTGGCTGGGTATTAGGGCGAGGTGTGGGGGGGGCGGAGCCTCTCTGAAGACCATCTCCCTTAAGAGTCCTGGCTCTGGATAGGCCTGAGTAGTCGACCCCTCCACTGAAAATTATGAGCAAAGTCGTGGCAGGCAAGATGGGGACAGGGACTACCCCAAGGACATATCTGGGATAGACAACTTCCAGGACGAGGCGACAGACAAGCCCACGCATCCAAAGCCGAGCAGCACAGGACCGGATGTTTGAAGCCCGCCAGGTGCAGATGCAAAAGGAAGATCAAAACTTAAGAGTATTACCGTGGT